AAGTTCTTAAAGTTTAAATAGTGAATATTAAGAGTTAAATATAAATGTGTTTATAATGATAATTTTCCTCCGTGGCCTGCTTGCCTTATGCAGTTGTCCTTAATAATCAATTTGTTTAATTCACCTTTGATCTTGTTTTATCTCTTTAGTTGATATTATGTATTTTTGTTTAGTTAGGAAGCTTTACCTCTTTTTTTTCTAATTCTTTTCCTTCATTTTGTTGCATGTAATACCATCCGAGCCCTCTTGAACTTCATATTTCTTCCCTTCGCATTTCAAGAGGGCCATAAAGACCTAGGATTCTTTTATCGAGTCAGCCACATCTTGTTCGAGTTGCTGGAAAGTTAAATTACAGGTCCCGGAAAGTCAAAAATGGGATGTATACATGTTGTATACAGCGGTATACGCTGATATGCATCCGGTGTATATGTAAAACGGGAATTGGGTTAAAGCACAAAAATTATCAACGAAATTGGCCCAAAAGGGGGCCAAATTCATTTCTCCTTTACCTTTAAATTATTTAATTATCTTTATTTATTGTTTGTTTTTCTTATCATTAACTCTAACTTTAGAATTGTTAATTAGCTTAATTAGATTCCTCAAAAGATGAGTTATTTTCTTTGTGTTGGTTTAATTTTAATACATGTGTTCATTTATTTTATTAATCAAGTATATTGGTCAAAAAATTTATATCTTCAATTAAGTTAAACCTTTGGTTCTTAAAAAGAGAAGTTCTTTAATGCTTTTCACTTAATCACATTTTACTCATTTTAAAATTGTTTTAAGTTTAAGCATTTTTCTCAAATAAACTTTAAAAATTCTAGTCAAAACCTTTTTCAATTAACTAAAAAAAAATACTTATTTAGTCATTTTCTCAAAAAGGTAAGTCAATTAATTTAAAATGATTTTCATGCTTTAATTTATTAAATGGGTTTAAATTATTATTTCAAAATGAATTAAATAAATTCTAATTAATTTAGTTCTATTAATATCCTAATCACTTGTAGTTCGAGTCAAATATTTCATTTTGGATCCCTTTCTCTAAAAAATAAAATGAAATAAAATGTGTCGTTTATTTAACTATTTTTTCTCAAAGTTAACCAAATATTGTAAATTATTATTTTTATGTTAAATCATCTTTCAAAAAAAAAATAGTAAAAAAAATATTTTTGGTCAAGTCGTAGGATAACCGCACGTTAACGAGCGTTTCAAATGCCTTAAAAACCTTCTTGATGTGTAAATAAGAACCTCTTACCCATTTTCTCTAAATTTTTAAAGACTTAATCTGTTAGACTCTTTTTAAATTATAAGTTTTCATAATTTCTTTAAAAAATTAAGTGGTGACTCTTTTCTAAGTATTTTTCTTAAATTGTTTTATACTTAGAACATTTCAAAAAAGTAATTTTTCTAAAGATAGTAAAATTATGGCATAACACTTGCTTCATTATGATACATGTATGTATGTATGCAAATGTTGCATTATTGATCTCACTTGTTGTAAATGAGGATAATTGAATAATTGTATGTCATGAATCACCTCTTGTTGTATGATTGTGAGAATATACATTGTGATTGTGATTGTGGTTTGTCGAATGGGTGGGTGACATGTTCCGGCATAACTAACTTGGATCGGATTGCCACGTTCCGACATAAACATGGGATCGGCTGCCACGTTCCGACATAACTAACTTGGATCGGATTGCCACGTTCCGGCATGCTAACTGTTTGGGTTTGGGTTCCATGAGAGGACCATTGAATTGGGTTCCGTGAGAGGACCATTGAATTGGGTTCCGTGAGAGGACCATTGAATTGTGTTGTGTATCTACTTGTGATAAGTTCTTTCATATCTAATGGTGATTGATATTGGAAGACGGTATGCTTCTCTAAATTGATATAACTGTGATATGTGAGAATCATGAAGTTGTTCATTGATCGTATATGTTGATGATATTGTATATGTTCTATATGTGCATGTGATTATATTGTTGTATTGACTAATGTATGTTACACTTAGTGGGATAGTTGTATGATCCTACCAGTACACGGTGATTGTGTACTGATACTGCACTTGCTCTTTCTTTGTTGAGTACAAAACATCTTCAGGTGGCTATTGATAGACCCCAGCTAAGTGACTATGAGAGTGACCAGATTCAAGGGTGAGTCAGTTCTTTCAGGCTGCCATGGATCTTCCTTGTTTAAGTCCACTCTTTTCGGACTCAAGCTTTTTGTTTAAGGTGTTGTTTAGTTTCGAGGTTGTACCCCTTGTTCTTAGACTTGTCGTTAGTAGAGTTTTGGTACATTGACTTTCAGGTTCTAGGTTAGTTCTTCCGCATTTGTTAGTTATTGTTGAACTTTTGTTAGAGTTTATGGAAACTCTATTTTGTTTCCTTAGTATTTGACTTATATGCCTTAGTTTTTAGATTGATTGCTTGGTTTGGGTTGTAGTAGTGGTTCTCCCACTGGATGGTTAGAGTGGGTAGATGGGATCCTTCAGGTTAATGTTCTTGCGATTTTTTATTTGTATTGGTATACAAACCAAACGTAAAAAAATAATGATTAAGAACGGTGATACTAGAAAAAAGATATTCAAATTTTGTTTCTGTAAGATATTTAATTATGGCGTTTTTGGAATGAACATTTATTTTTTGAAATACATAAAAATTGTTTGAAAATGATATAGATTTTGGTAAGAACATTCATTTTTTTGTATGTTTCTAGTTTAAAAAAACTACATAAAATTTATTTGAAATTGGCATACTGGTTATACCATGTTGGTATGATTTTGACATTATATTAGAATGAATTTTGTGTACTCATTATCTAATAAATGACAGTTAATGGTTAGAATTAATATTAATTTGGTATTATATTGGCATGATTCTTCTGTGAAAAAGTGACGACTTATGTGATGAAATAGTTAGCATGAAATGTGTATAAATAGTGTGCATAAAAATTGTATGAAATTCGTATACTGATTTCATATTTTTGGTGGGTATAATAATTTCATTTATGACGTTTTTTTTAAATGTATAATGTTATATTTTGGTATGAACATTAAATTGTTCACTATTTGTCTGACCCATTTTTTATTTGACGTGTGACAATAAAAAAGGAACATGAATCAAGGTAAAATCCTAAAAATGGGTAAGAGATAATTAGGATTGATTCTTTATTTATATCACCTACTAATAAAAATATAATTATAAATTTTTAATTATTTAATAAAGTGGAATTAAACTGATTTATAAATAAAAAGTGATATGTTATAACCCGCAATTTAAATGTGATAAGTAATAATATTTTAAAAATAGATTTAAAATCCGTAATATTACCCCTTAAATATATATGTGGGTGATTTTTCCTCTAATAAAGCTCCATCATTTGGGCTTTTTTTAAAGCCCATTTTCGTTTCTGCTGCATTTGTATACAACGAGTGTATACTTCTGCATACTGACTGTATATCAGCTTGTTTGCTCATATACCAGATTGTAAACCCAGTGTATACGGTCCATTTTCACCCTTTAAAACTTGTAATTCAGCTTCCCCTTTTTCGCATCGACCTCTTTCTCTTTGAATTGATGAAGTCGACTCAATAAATATCAATTGGGTATTAGCTCAATAGGAAAATCACTACAACAAAAACAACTTTTAGCGGCAATAAATAAACACATTAATAAAGAGTGGTAAAGTCTTTATCGGCATTAGTCAAGTGTTTTTAGATCCAATGTCGCTAAAGGCATTAAGAACATACATATACATATGCAAAGAGTGCTAATTGCCACTAAAAAATACATATTTAGTTGCAATTGAGCTATTGTTATTAATTAACTGCCGCTAAACATCATTTTTTATATAGTGAATGCAGAGAAAATATGAGTCCAAATGGACTCATGAGGGAAAAGTTTATGCATAAAAGATGAAAGAAAAGAATTATACTCACATCAACGCTAATAGATGCTAAGCAGAGAAGAATAAGTAATTACTCAACAAGAAAATATCATGTGTTTATGAGGAAAAGACGCAACAATTATTCATATAAAAGCGTTTCAACACTGTAAGGGTCAATCCAAAATTACCATCAATCCTTATCACCAGTCTCATACTATTAAAGAATGTGCTTGTTCCAAATCTATGTTTTTTCCCGTTAATAGGGGTGTTCGTGGTTCGGTTTGGATTGATTATTGATTAAAACCAAATCAATCTAGTCAGTTTTTTAAATTTCTAAAATCAAACCATATCAAACGAAAAAAATAATTGTCGGTTTGGTTTAGGTTTTTTGGTTATCCGGTTTGAAAGTAATAGTAATTTTTTTGAGGACTTACGTTGGTAGACACAAACATCTAGCACATGAACAATCCACAGAAAAGCTATTGTCGGTTCAATTAAGCAACTAAGCAATGCTAGAATTATCATTATACGAACAAAGTATTTCAATTAAGAGAAAGTGTGACTATTTTATGTGAAGTAGTGTAGGTAAAGACTAAAATGAATTTTTATGGACTTGGACTTAGGATTGTTATAGTCGGGCTAAAGTGTTGAACTTGAGAAAATTGTAAAGTTAAAGACTTAAGTTAATTAAAATTTAATAAAATATTTATATTTTATTTGTGAATAATATATAAATAATTATAAAATTTATATATCTAATTTATTGGTTTGGTTTGGTTATTTTTGCGGTTTTTTTTAGTAAAACCAAAACCAAACCAAATAATGCCGGTTTTCAAAATTTAAAACCAAACCCAACCAATCAATTTTTTTAATCAGTTTGGTTCAGATTGCGATTCGATTTGATTTTTTAACCATAACCATGAACATCCCTACCTGTTAACTTTGACATTATTAGCTAATTATTGTACTTAATAAATATAATAATAATTAAATAGTTCCTCCCTGATAAAAGGGTCATAGATAGACCAAAAACTTATATATATATATTTCATTTCATATAGTATTTATTACAACAGAAAAGAATAATGATAAAAACTTCAATTTCTTAGGAATTACAACAGAATGGAGTGAGCAATCAGAGAATTAGGACTCGAACTCATAACATTAGTATCCACAAACACTCGAATCCTTTCGAGCGCGATCTCCACAGTTTGATCATCGATGTTTGCAAAACAGATACGGAACCATCCTGCCTCAGGACAATGAAAAGAAGATCCAGGCGAGATGTTGAGCTTCGCGTCGTTTATGATCAATTTCCATAGTGACACCTCAGCATCAAGTGTTGGCTCTTTCAATAGACTCCTCAAATCCACCCAACAATAAACCCCAGCATTGCTTTTTAAACACTTAATACCGATTTTTTCAAGTCCGCTAGTGAATTTCTCGTTCCTTTTCCTTAACCTCTTACCGCTTTCAGTGAGAAATTCTTGTACAAATTCATCGTCAGACAGCATGGAAGCTAAAAAATGTTGTGTCTCATTCAGATCACCAATGTTCGACCTTTTTCTAGCAAAATTAACGACATCATCATTAAACGAATACAGTATTCCCGCTCGAAATCCTGGAAGGCCCATGTCTTTTGAAAGACTAGACACAATATGAACCAAATTTTTATTAACATAAATTCCTTCGTCCTCAATGATTTCAGCGATGCTGACAAATCGTGGAGCATCAAACACGGTGCCAGCATAGATTTCGTCGCAAACAAGGTGGATGCTATGTTCGTTAGTGAAGATCAAGATTTTTTTGAGTGTGTCCCTATCCAAAACGGTGCCTAATGGATTAGAAGGATTGGTCAAGATCAAACCTTTGAGTTTGATATTTGCTTTTTGGGCTTTTTCATATGCCTCTTTCACAGCTTCTATTGTAATTTTGAAATTGTTGGAGCAATTGCATGAAATAGGTACAAGTTGTACACCAGTTCTCCAACATAAATCCCTATCGAATCTGTATTAATTTACGAATATAAATCAATAATTTGCAAAATATAAAAGATTATGATTACGCGGAATATTATGTAAACATACCCAGTGTAATAAGGTGCGGGGATTAAAAAAGCATCGCCAGGATCGGCCAAACAAGAGATGAGAGTCTCGTTAGCTGCAGTAGCCCCAGCAGTCAATACTATACGTTCAGCATCAAACTTAACATTACCCCCTCTTGTTTTCTCCATTAATTTTGCAATCCCCTGCATCAACAAAATAAAATATGTTTTGGCTTAGACACAAAATTTATCTTAGTCATGTGCATTTTACTAAAAATATTTGTCTTCTATTACTTGATCACTTACTAAATCAGGATAGAATTATTATTTTTTCCTATTTTACCACTAAAATTAATATGACCTTTGAAACTTTAAACATTTTTTGAATATCTAAATTAAAGTTTCTCTTTTTAAGATTAAGACGTCTAAATTTGAATAAGCATCTGAATATTAAGATGTACATTAAGATCTAGATATACATATCTGAATAAACATCTGACTATTAAGATGTGGTCCATGGATCTAAACATTGAATGATTAAGACGGTTTGCTTTCAATATCTGAATAAATATTATAAAAAATTCATTTCAACAAAAAAATTACTTATTGATTAAAAAATAATATTTTCAATATTTATATTTGATTAAAAAATAAGTTATATGATATGCAAATATAAAATTATGCATATCAATATAAAAATTATTACTCCCTCCGTTTCAAAAAGAGTAGTCTAGTTTGACTTGACACGGTGTTTAAAAAATAAAGAAGACCTTTGAATCTTGTATTCCTAAATTAAAGTTATGTCAAATGTACAAAATTGCCCTTTAATTTTGTGGTCTTAAATATGTCACGTGAAAAGGTGAAACTAAAATGTTACCAAAAAAAAAGGTCATTCTTTTTTTGAAACAGATGGAGTATAACATGAATTTTTTTTTAAGAATTCAGCATAAACATCTTTTCATAAATAAAAAAATCCAACTAATCAAATAATAAAGAAGGTTTCATATTATCAATGCCTAATGTATATTCTAACTAATTAGAAAAATTAAAGAATTCTTATCTTTTTTCCCAAAAACCTTAATCCAGTTCTCTAACTTGTGAACCTCTAGTGTCATCCATGCTTTTTTGTAGCTGTAAAAGTTGTACGGTATAATGGTTCTTCTTATTCAAGGCCGTCTATTGAGACAGGGAGATTTTTCTTTTCATGCCAATTTTTTTCTTTCAGTCGAAACTGAAGATTGGGGTGGAGAATTATTAAGAGTTACATCACTTTTGTAACCAACTAGATCTTCAACTCCATCAAGCGTGTGTGTATATATATATAACAAATATCAATACACCCAAAAAATGTTAATATAAAAAAACACTTATAAAAATTATAAAAACTTGTCAATTCAAAAAGGAAAAATTTGGTGTTTGATTGAGAAAATAGATGAAGAAAATTTGTAGCGAGAGAAAACAAGAGCAAGAAAAGCGACCAGCAGATATTTTAAAGCATATTAAATAAGTCTATATGGTATTTAACATTTTCCTATAGATCTGATTTGTTCAAATGTTTTAAGATCCATTAAGAAGTTTTTTCTTTTTTTAAAAAAATAAATGGACTTAATGGATTGAATTTAAATGATTAAGATTCAGACCTAAAAAATCAAACACACTTAATTAGTTAACTATGAATAATTAAAATTCAGACATTCATTAAGCGCAAATAAATAAGGCGTAACTGCCCATCTAATATTGAATAGAGGATCACAAAATAAAGTACTTACATTAATTAAGCATTCAAACAATCCATGATCTTGATTTGTGATTGAGAAAATGAAAGCTTGTAGATTTCTCTTATTCCAATCTTCAATCATGTTAACTGAAAGCTGATTTTCTGCTAGACCCAGTTGAATAATCCCATTCGGGTTATCCTTGAGGTCGAAAGGATCTTTGTTGTATGCTTTCCATCCCTCAAAATATAGTGAATTTTCGCCATGTTGTTCGTTAGTAGCCAGTTCAGACAAAACTACATTACTCGTGATTACGAAAACCTCTCTAATAGCCAGCAAATTACGACGCACAAAATTGGGCAGCAGTAGTAGTAGTTGGTAGCAAAGTTGCAACTTTGCGACCAATAAGAAGAACCCATTCATAATAAACATTAAATAAAAAAAATAGCTAGTGTTTGGTATAGGAAGAGAGAAAAGGTATTTTTCTTGGTAAGACAATAAGAAGTATTTATAGATAAAAATGAAGTGACCTCAAGTGAAGTATTGAGTGTTGGGTAAATTGTTAAATATCTTATTTCAATATGTTGTCATATATACATACTAATTTCTGGATACGTACTTATAATAATATCAAATGTCTAATATAAAAAGATAAGTCTAAATAACTTATTAAAGATAAGTCTAAATAACTTATTAAGAAGTTATTTCGTAGCTGATTAGAATTATGCAAGTATCAATAATGCACATATTAGTATTACCTGAATCAGTAATTCTTCCACCCTCGTATTCAATTTCAATTTTACTTGTGGTGCCAACTTGAGTGGACAACTCCAAAATTTGTATTTTTCCTTTTGTCTCAATATGGATCGTAGAATAAAAATTCTTCATACTTACCTTATAATTTATTTATATATATATTAGGGGTGTATATGGTCGGGTTGGTTCGGGTTTTTCAAATATCAAACCAAATCATTTGTGTTGGATTTTTAAATCTATAAACCAAACCAAACCAAACCAATAAAACTCGGGTTTTTCAACCTCGGGTTTTTTGGATTTTTTCGGGTTTTTTGGGTAAAGTATTCATACAAACATATAATTTACTTGTACTTCAAATATTTCTTCAGTCCTACCAAAATACAACTATCTAAGGTGTTTCTTAAGAATACAACACAAACAATGATATGATTAATGACTAGGGGTATGTATCGGTCGGTTCGGTTCGGTTATAAGTATTATCGGTTCGGTTTATCGATTTTCGGTTTTTAAATATGCTAAACCAATAACCAAACCAATAAGATATTTGTTATCGGTTTTCGGTTTTCGGTTTATCGGTTTTAGGTCTTTAACGGTTCGGTTTTCGGTTTAACCAATAAGAAAATGCTTTCAAAACAAATATATGACTTATCCAATAATTTGACGCGATACACATACATCAAAATAATCATTCCAAACGGGACAACAAGGACCAACTTGTTGTATTTTGGTCATCACAACAAAGACTTGGTTAATTTTCGATCACCATAATATATATAAAACAAGGTCCCCTTTATGCAATAAAGAGAATCAAATAAAACCAAATCATAGACAAAAGTCAAAACAGTAGCAAATGAGGCCATGTTTATGGTAACTAAATGAAGTTCTTACGTTATTTAAAAAAAAACACACACACAATTTGAATTCCTAACGTTAATCAAATTGCAGATATTTACAATCGTGCAAAAGCTAATATTAGTCAATTATAAACTAACTAAAGTAAATAAGTAGTACTAAAAAGTAAAACCTAAAGGTTAAATAACTAAAAGTAGAGAGGAGAGTTAATTGTTAAGTAGTGTTAATTATTGCGTAGAGTTTTATATATTTAGTCTAATATACTACTAATTATATTAATATTTTTTTAAATATATTATATATATGTATAACTAAAAATTAAAATAGTAAATTATTATATTCTTAATAGGTTATCGGTTAACCCAATAACCCAATATTAAAAACCAATAACGAACCGATAACCCAATAATTTTTTTTTGTAAAACCATTAAATAACAGTTATCCCAATAACCCAATAACAATAAACCAATAACACTTTTTTTGGTTCGGTTTATCGGTTGGTTCGGTTTTTGCACACCCCTATTAATGACACTAAAATATCCAAAAAAATAATAATAATGAAATCGCGTAAAACAAATATTGCAAATTAACAAGTCATAATGAAAATGATCATAATTTAAAGGGATAAGGGTGTGAAAAATACTCCAACTTTGGTCGGATTTGTTGTTGCGATACTAAACTTTCATGAGGACCTATTACCTCCCTAGACTATTTAATACCGTATTTAAAACATATATATTTGCCCACATGGACATAAAAAATAATGCAAAATTATAAATAGTAATGTGTCCACGTGGGCACATATATACCTTTAAAATACACTATTAAATAATTCAGGGGGTAAAAAATACGGTATTAAATAGTCTAGGAAGGTAATAGGTCCTTATGAAAGTTTAGTATCACAACAGCAAATCCGACCAAAGTTGAGGTATTTTTCAAACCCTTATCCCTAATTTAAAAGCACTAAATCATGCTAAAATAAGTTTAATAAGTATTAGTAACATGACTAAATATTAAAGGAAATTAAAATTAGATTATGTACTTTAATTGTCTAAACAAATGTAAAACCAAAGAACAAATATTCAATATTATTGACATTCTTAGTGTTAAATTGATTTTCTTTTTGCATTAGTATTAATTTGATTTTGATTTAAGTTTTATTACAATTACCAACATCTATGGGCTATAATCTATATGGAACCATTCAAAATTCTAAGTTTCAAACTTGAAATAATATATTAAAAGATAAAAACTATGAAAAAGTATAAGAAATATTTAAAAATTATATCAAAGTAAATATTTTTATGTATAAAATAAAATTTTAAAATTATATATATAATGTCGGGTTGGTTTTTTTAAGTTAAAACCAAACCAACCCAAATATAGTCAGGTTTTTTTTTCAACACCAAACCAAGTCAAACCAACCACTAGTTGGGTATTTTTTCCGATTTGACTCGGTTTGCGGTTTGGTTCGATTTTCAATGCGGTTTTGTACACCCCTAATATATATAATGCATACGAGTTTTTAAATTACAAAACTAGTTTCCATCTCTACGAATTATAAGGTCCTAAACCCTATCAAATGATAATTTTGGTTTATGATATTTTGAGTTATGATAAAAGGAGGAAGCAGGAAAAAAAAGAAAAAGGAAGAACGTTGACGTTTCTACCGACTTATTCTCTATTTTATATATATATATATATGGATAAATCTGTATGACTGTATAACACAGTGAAACTTGGGGGCAATTTATCTTGTACATGGAATTCAAATTTCAAAAACATTTAATAAATCAATTAGTTTTTTTGTTAAATTACAATTTTTTAATATTTTTTTAAAAAGTGTGTAAGTAAAAATAGTTGCCTATACTACTTCCACCATCTCATATTAATTTAGTTACCTAGTGAAAAATATATGTTTTAAATTATTTATTCACTTCTTAAATCAAAATAACATTAATTAACTTTTTCTATTTACATCAATAATTAATATTCTTTGAAAGCCTAAACAAACATAGAAGTTCCAAGACAAAGTCATAAAGTTGTAATATATTTTTCATAATTTTTTTTATGTCCATTAATATGAGTAGGGTTGTTCATGGTTATGGTTATAAAACCAAACCGAACCGTAATTCGAACCAAACCGATTAAAAAAAATCGATATTTGGTTTGATTTGGTTAGGTTTGGTTTTAAATTTTGATAAACCGATATTATTTGGTTTGGTTTTGGTTTTACCAAAAATTAACCGCAAAAATAACCAAACCGAACCGCGAAGTTATATATATAAATTTTATAATTATTTATAAATAAAATATATGTATTTTGATAAATTTTAATTAACTGAAGTCTTTAATTTTACTATTTTCTGAAACCCAACACTTAAATTTTAGCCCAACTATTGAAACCATAAGTCTAAATCCCTCAATATTCATTACATTAAAGATCACACTTTCTCTGTATTTTTTAAAAAAATTAACGCAACATTGAATAATTTAAAGCTCAAGCTAAAGAAGATGGTAATTGATTAGTTTTGACTATGAAATATTGGTTTTTTTTTTCTTTGAGAAGTAATTTCTCAATATTTTAAGGTGTAACGTTATTGAAAAGTCTATTGACAAGATGTTGAGATCTCCAAAATATTGAACCAACTTTATGCTATTGACAATGAGTTTTTTCAGTTCCTGAAACTTGGTACATTGGATAAATCACTTTGTTCGTGTAATAGCTTATTTGTGAATTATTCATGTACTAAGTGTTTGTGTCTATCGAGATGCGTATGTCCTCAACAAACTTATTACTTTCGAACCGAAAAAATCCGAAAAAACCTAACCAAACCAAACCAAATCGACAATAACCGAACCAACGGTTATTTTTTTGATTTGGTTTTAGAAATTTAAAAACATGTTTAAATTGGTTTGGTTTTAATTTTAACTAATAACCGAACCATGAACACCCCTAAATATGAGTAAATGATAAATTAGTAAAATTAATTATTTTATTTATGATTTTTTGAAAAGCCTATAAACTATTCCAAGATTTCTCATTACAACACATTTTCCAACTAACCCGCTTGCCCCAAATATAATTTGGGAAAATTTTGTTAAAAAACTTGAAATTTTTTTTGGTCAGTACGTTTGGTTGGTTACATAATTAGGCAAATATATTTGTAAGAATTCCAAGTTTCCAGATATTAGAAAAAAAATATTTTTGGGTCAAATTCTAGTATTTGGGAATTTTAAAAAAAATTCAAAAATTACCCCAAACTTTCATATTTTATAAAAAAAATACTCATAATATTTATCTACCATATCTATCTATTACTAATAAAATAACTAGATTGCTTCTTTATCTATTAAACAACATGCTCACCAACCATATTAAACATCTCTTTCTATTAAATAACAAAGGGATGCGATATCATTTGCAGGACTACTGGGAAAGTGAAAAAGATCCTAAGCATGATAAAGAGTTATTTAATTATAGATATGTCCCTTTGCGTAATATAATTAAAAAAACATTTGATGCGTAAAAAAGTAGATTCAGAATACTATGACAAGACATGAACATATAAATTAGACATGCAGGTGCATGAAAATAGTAGTTGCTTGTGCCGTATATTATATTATTTTTGTGTGAAAATCAAAATAGTGATGAAATATTCAGTGAACATGAACGTGATGATATGATTACTGCTGAAGATGATGAACAATCAACTTAAAGTAACAATAGTGATGAAAGCGTGTAGAGAAGAGATTGTTTGAAAAATGTGGGAAGATTATATAAAGGATTAGTTTATTACTACCTGCTCCCGAAA